AGGTTATTAGAAAACATTTTGTATTATATTTTAGATTTCAGCCTCACTGTGTTACCAAAAAGCATCTTCGATACAGGAACAATGTCAGTGCTTGATGTTCTGGGGGCTGCTTCTCTACTCAAAGGCTGGTGTTTAATTCTGAGAGACTGTAATTCAGGCCAGAAATCATAACTGCACACTGAATGATAATTTTCTGCACCTGTCTTTCACAGCTAGCACAAAGAAAATGGAAGAAATTCTCATAGAAAGGAAAGGTAAGGAAGGAGAGGAAGATTACCTGGATTCCCAGATCAGCTAGTATCTCACTAAGCTATCACTTGAGAGGTTTCTGCTATAAGACAGCAGGGCAATCTTTCCATTATCTGTCCTTTTCATAAGAAACACTTGATGAAACATTAAGCTAATCCCTAAATACACCGCTCTGCAGGTACAAATTGAATTGGATGAATGCTTCACTATTCAAATTGAATGAATGCTATATTATTCACTTATACAAAGCAATATGCCAACAGATACCTGAATAACACACTATCCAGTGGTTATCATGAATAGGTTTTAATGCTATCTTACAAATGCCTGGAATAGATCTAGTGTACTATATCAAAAAGTGTCTTCAGTAGAGAGAGATAGAGATTTTGGCACTGATACCTTGATGCACTGTTAAAAGCTTTCCACTTCCTTTACCTTCCATCTCCATCCTGCTTCTCTATTTAGTTTGGAGCAAGAAACCTTAAGAGATCCTGGGGCTTCCTCTCTATAATGACAATTGACAAATTCCAGACATTTTTATAGCTGTATTCAACACTATAGTCTAAATGTCACAAGGCCACAGGGAAGTTGTATAGAAGAAGACAGGATCATAATAATAATAACATTTGTTGACTGCTTACTATATCAGTTACTGTTCTAAGTGCTTTAAACCTATTAAGTCACCAAATCTTCACCATACCCTTATGCGGATGGGCACTACCCTTATCCTGATTGTACAGACCAAGAAACCAAGGTATAGAAAGGTTAGGTAACTTGCCTAAGGCCACAGAGCTACTGAGCAGAACAACTGGAATGCAAACCCAGGCAGTCTGGAGCCCTGCTCTAACCTCCACACCGCACTTCCTGCCTACAGAGCATGGTATTCTGGGACCCTTGTGTCTGCGTGGCTGTGAAGCACAGCTTCATCCAGGGGAAGGAATCATTACAATCAGTATTCCTCAAGACATTCCTAGACCTTTTACTCCTTCTACTTTAGATTCTCTCTGATTCATGTCTTGGCATCAGTTACTATTTATGTGCAGATTACTCATAATATCTCAGACCCAGAAATCCAAACCATCCTTTTAAATATCTCAAAGCCATCTCAAGCTCAACATCTTTACTTGTGGTCTTCCTGCTCAAATCTGGACCTCTTTCTGTATTTCTTGTCCCAGTGAATGGTACCAACATTGATCAAACTATATAATCCTGAAATCTAAAAATAGTCCTTGATCCCTTCATTTGTCACCACCCCCAGATCTAATACATCATTAAGTTCCATTAACTTTACCTCCTAAATATTTCTCAAATTTAGTCACATCTTTTTATCTTTACCACTACTGCTCTCAGCTGAACTATGCAACTTAATGCAATAAATTCCTAACCAGTCTCCCTACATACATTCTACTGCTCTCAGCTGAACTATGCAACTTAATGCAATAAATTCCTAACCAGTCTCCCTACATACATTCTTGCATCTCCTCAGTTTGTCTCCAAACTGTACTTAGTATGGCCTTCCTTAAACTCAATTTTCATTAAATTACTGATGTGCTTAAGACCCTTTAGTGGCTTTCCATTGCTCTTAGGATAAAGGATAAAACTTCAACTTGATCTGCAAGATCCTGAATGGTGTGGCTCTCATACCCTATAGCCTGTTTCTCATCATTCTCGTCACTACATTTCTCAAGACTCATACCCACCCTCCAAGCTCACTCTGCTACAGAACTTTAATGCATGCCCTTCCACCTAAAATGCTCTTATCTGTCCTCTTTGCACATATAACTCTTATTCATCCTTCAAATTTCAGCTTAATACCCATTGCCCTGACTTCCTTCTCCAAACCAAAGCTCTCCTGTATAACTTCTCATAATTCAGAACCCTTAGGTAGTAAGACACTGAAGCAGACATTGGTATATTCCTAACTGCCATTTCACCTCATCATTCATGTTGACACAAACCCTGTTTTGTTCAGATGCTGGGCACCTGTGTTTCAGGAGCCATTCCCCAACCCAAAGGTGTGGCTTTTCTAGTATAGGTCAATCATGTCAATTCTATTCTCCCTACCAGCCATTGAATCAGAAATGGGCAGGTGAAGCAACCCTTGCTAATGAGAAGTAAAAGGATGTAGAGATGGGGAGTGGGCCTTCTGGGAAAGAACAAGATAGGACTCGTGTCTTCCTGTCTTTGGATGCAATCATAAGAAGATATGATGCCTACGAATCTTTTAGCTTTTTATGACCATGAGAAGAGAATATAAATAATACTTCTGGTTGTGTGGTTATGTGGTAAATTGAATTACGGATTCCAATTCTTCATTCCTCTGTAATAGATAGCCACACCCTTGCCATGTCCTCATGGTGGGAAGAGAGGTCTTTCCTGCCCCTTGATTTTGGACTTGTTCATGTGACTTGTTTTGACCAATGGGATGTTAGCAGATATGAAGAAAGCAAAGGCACAATATGTATTCGCATGGTTTGGTCAGCTTTCTTGTTCTCCCCAGTGATCCACCATGAGAAGCTGCTTTCCCTTTCAGCTTGGTTCCGGAATCCATATGTATAAAGTAGGCCTAAGCTTAATCCACACCTTAAAGCAGAGCTGCCTCTGCCAGTTCATGGACCCACAGTCTAAAGTACAGCTGCCCCAGCTGACCTGCAGAACTGAGATCTTAAGAAGTGTTTACTGTTAGATGCCATTGAGTTTTGGGGTAATCTGTTATGGAGCATTATTATGGCGATTGCTGGCTGACACATCAGCAAAAGCATCCTAACTATAGCAGACATTAAATAATCATATAATTAAATATAATTCTCCCACGCTAGATTACGAGGTCCAGAGGGTAGCAACTGTGTCTATTTTTGTTCTCCATTGAATTCCAGCACAGTAGATTGCATAATAAGTATTTATTGAATGAATGCTATTAATGAGAAAGGCTGAAATAAGAGACACCAAAAATGTTAAAAATCAGATGATAATAAGTAATGTTTATATCTTCATTTTTTTCTGTATTATAATAAGACTTTTGTGTATTATAATAATGTTTTTGTATAATAATCATGAATTGCCTTTACAATCAGGAATAAAATTTTATAAAAAACTACTCCCACTAAGCAGAAAATATATAATTATTTGGAAAGAAATACTACCCTGGGTCAAACAAGAAGTCATTTGCATGAGTTAAATTTACATATAGCTCTGAATTCAGGAGGTTGTAAATTCACACAAAGGTGTCAGGACAATAAATAAGGTCTTGGTTAGCTCCAAGATTTAAGACCTGGCTGAGACACACTGTGTTTTGCTTTACTTTCTGGGATCAGAGAGAAATGTCTGAGGTAAGCCAATAAAAAAACACAGGAATTTAGGGAGATTGGGTCAAAGGGACATGTTAGGAAGCTACTGGTTATTGACAAATTATCTCCTTCACACTCATTTTACAAATTTTTACTAAAAGATTTCTAAGGGCATCTCTCTAGCCACATCTCCTCACCTTCCCTCTCCTTCCACCTCCAATTTCCCTGCTGTCTGTCCTCACCCCGTCCTCTAAGGTCCTTGCTCTCTTCTCAGGATCCTTTAGGCCCCTCCTGGCTTCACTTGGTCCCTTTGATGACTGGATCTCATGGTTCAAGGATGCAACAATGAAAAGCAAGGAACTAGATTAAAACCAACCATATGGATCATTCTTCAAAGGATAGCATTGGATAAAATCTAAAAATGAAGAAAAAAATCAATGTATTATAGAAAATAGTTACTATAAGTTTAAAATGTACCCATTCACATGTGTCTTTTAGGTTAGTTACATATATAAGGGCATGTATTAAACATTTAAGATGCTGCCTAATGGGAGAGAATAGTGAGTGTGGGTATAGAGGATAAATGGTAGAAGGAAAGAAGGAAGAGAAAACTCATTTATAAGGGCAGAAAACAGATGTTATTCCAAATGCTTAAATGAAGAGGCATTAATGAAGAGACCAGTGACAATGGTGTGAGGAGGTGGAAGGAAAAGACAAAGAATGGGAAGGTGTATTGGTTTTCTATTGCTGCTGTAAAAAATAACCACAAATGTACAGGCTTATAACAAAAGAAACTTCGTATCTTAAAGTTCTGTAGGTCAGAAGACTGGCATAGATCTCAACAGCTAACATCAAAATGTCAGCAGCGCAACATTCCTTCTGGAAGAATCAGGGGAGAGCTTGTTTCCTTGCCTTTTCCAGCTTCTAGAGGCTGTCCACATTCTCTGGCTCATCGTCCCCTTTCTCTGCCTTTAAAGCCAGCAACATCTAATATCTTTCTGACCATGCTTGCATTGTCACATCTCTCTCTGACCACAGAATCTTTTAAGGACCCATGTTATTAGATTGGATCCACCCAGATCACCTAGGGTAGTCTCCCCATCTCAAGGTTCATAACCGTAATCACTTTTGTAAAGTTCTGTTTACCACGTAAGGTAACATACGCACAGGTTCCAGGGGTTAGGACGTGGACATATTTGGAGGACCATTATTCTGTTGACCCCAGAAAGCAATATCAGGAAGCCATTAGCATCCATATGGCTGAAGGAGCAGGGGAAGGAAATGGTATCAAGGGAACTCCAGGGGAGCTGGAATGCAGGCGCTGTCAGAAAGGTGCTGCATTGAGAAGAGAGACAACCATTGCCAGACACTGCTCAAAGCAGCAAGCACATAGAGGAAAACACCCCAACCCCTCCCACCTCACCCCCATTCTCCCGCCAGTGCCTCTCCTTCGGCAAAGCTTACCAGAAACCAAGCAGCAAAGGAGCCTGGGTAATGGTGTCTGCAGCAGTTGACTTCCCAAGGCAGACAGAGAAGGAGGAATGCGGTGGCGGGATGGGGAAAGAGTTCAGGGTAGCAAATGAGGAATAACCAGGACAGATGCCCGGAACTGGGAAGAGCGATAAACTCAATTGCCTGCCCTTGAGGTTAAAAAAGACTAATGATCTCCTAGTAACATCAGCTGCTATTTCAAAGCAGAATCGAAAGTTGTGGGGTGGGGAGACTGTGGAAGAAATGCTCCTGGTTTTTTGTTTCTTAAAATGAGCAAGAAAAGTTTGGGACTGAGAAAAATCGGCAGGCAGGCTACACGGCATTCACTCACATGGCTCCCCTCACTCCCTACCTTGTTGAGCAGGAGAGCCGGGTAGAAATCACCAAACCAAAAGAAGGGGAAGAGGTGGGGAGAAATACAAGATGTGAAGACCCAGCAAAAATGTAGTGGGTGAGTTGACATTTTTTGAGGGGACATATTTGAAACAACTCTTTTCCAAAGTGGTGAAAGTGGCAGAAATTCTCCTTCATAATGTCAGTGTTTGCTTTTGACCTGGATGCTGGTCCACATTAATTTGTAAAATGCTGAAAGTACATATAGCTAGAACAGGATCTTTTACTCCGCAAACTGCTAATTTAACTATGAGCTGGATTCTGTTATGAATCTCTCAGAGCTGTCACTCCTAAGACCATTACTCCCTGTCCTCTGATATTGTTATTTTTAGAGGACACTTGGCCCCCTTTGATAGCCACTTTATTTTATATCCAGGCTATAAATTTCTCCTTAAGCACAGTTACTGTCTGATTTTGAAGCTCTGAAAAATCCCATCATGGCTACCTAAAAAGAAAAATTTGACAGATACTGCCAAAATAAAGCAAAAGCTCTTCCTGTTGCATATACACCACCATAGGTCTGAGACCAACCGCAAAGCCACTCTAGCTTCACCCAGAGGCTCTGAGGGTTTGGAAACATTCTGACATGCAAGATAGTGACTCTGAGGAGCTCCCAGCTAGCAACAGCTGGTACTGGGATTTTTATACACACAAAAGGTCCAGGAAACTCAAAATCAAGGCCATGTTGGAGGAGAGGAGGAACAGATAGGGCAGCCCCTATAAATGCTTCAGATTATCTTAGTTCTGGCTCAGCCTTAGAAAAACATGAGCAAGTCTTGTAATTATTAAGTGGCTTATTGGTTTTTATCAGAGTGTCTAGCATTCACCTCATAGAATAGAATCCATTTATTTTGATTGAACATTTACTTTGTGCCAGGCACTGTAAAAAGCCTATTTAATGCTTCTCAATAAACATGAAGTAATTTCTATTGTTATCTCCACTTTCAAGATGAGAATTTGAGAGCTTAAGTAATTGTGGCCCAAATTAACACAGCTGTGATGAAGGTAGGCTCCTCAAACCCCAGAGCCTGAGGGTTGAACCATCACAGAACAAATGCGATCCAGTTGACCCTGGGAAAGAATTCCTCCTGAGCTTTTAGAGGAAAAATAACCAGCAAAGCAAGAAAGATAAAGCCATTGCCTAGTTAATTTGCTCACTTAAACAACAGACTAACATTCCACAGGTAAAGAATTTTTAAAGTTTGAACTAATACGGAAAAACTGAGTTCCCTTGCCACAGAAATGGCACTTATAAAGGAATTGTTAGAATTTTATTTTTATTGTTTTTAAATGCCTTTATTGAAGTATAAATAACATAGAATTCATTTATTTTTAGTGTACAATTCAAAAGTTTCTAGTAAATTCACAAAGTTGCAGAGCCCACAGCACTAATTCCAGAACATTTCATTATCCTAAAAGAAACCCCATACCAATTGGAAGTCACTCCCAACTCCTCAACCGACCCCACTTCTAACCCCTGGCAACCCTAATCTGCTGTCTCTATGGATTTGCCAGTTCTGGACAGTTCACATAAATGGGATCATATACTATGTGGTCTTTTACATCTGGCTTCTTTCATTTAGCGTAGTTTTTGAAGTTCAGTCATGATGAAGCATGTGTTGACATATTCCTTTTTATTGCCCCATAGTATTCTACTGTATGCATATAACATATTCGTTTACCCATTCACCAACTGATGGACATTTGGGTTGTTTTCCTGATAGCTGATCATGATGAGCAGTTTTTCATGTGCTCCTTGGTTATTTATGTAACTTCTTTGGAGAAATCTCTTTTCATATCCATTGCTCATTTTTAAATTGAGTGATTTATTATTTTTTATTATTGAGTTGCAACAGTACTTTATATATTCTAGATAAAATTCCTTTATTAGATATATGATTTAGAAATAATCTCCCAGTCTATTGCTTGCCTTTTCTTTTTCTTAATGGTGTCTTTGAAAGCATAAAAGTTTTTACTTTGAGGAAGCCACACCCTAAAGATTTAAATAAAGATTTACTCTTGTAAAGAAATATTTACTCCTCTACGTTTTCTTTTAGATGTTTTATCCATTTAGCTCTTACAGTTAGGTCTACAATCCACTGTGAGTTGATTTGTATGTATGATGTGAGGTAGGGTCTAGATTCATTCTATTGCATGTGGCTATCCAGCTGTCTCTATACCTTTCCTTGGACCTTTGTGTGTCCTTATGTCAGTGCTGCACTGTCTTAGTTATTCTAACTTTGCGCTAAGTTTTGAAATTATGAAGTTCTCCAACTCTATTCTTTCTCAAGAGTGTTTTGCCTGTTTAGGCCCCTTGCATTTCCATATAAATTTTAGGATCAGCTTCTCAATTTCTCAGCAAGCTGCAATTTTGATGGGGATGTATTGAATGTATAGGTCAGTTTGGGGAGAATTGCCTTCTTAATAATATTGAGTCTTCCAATCCATAAACATGTAATGTCTCTCCATTTATTAAGATCCTCTTTCATTTCTGTCAGCAATGTTTTGTAGTTTTCAGTGTAGAATTCTTGTTCTTTTGTTAAATTTATTTCTCAGTATTTTCTTGTTTTTATGCTATCATGAAGGGGATTGTTCTTTTAACTGTGTTTTTTTTTGGAATGTTCATTGCCAGTAAATAAAAATACAATTAATTTTTCATATTGATGGCATATGTGGTGACCTTGCTGAAAGTTCTGTGTTCTAGCAGTAGCTTTTATGAATATCTTAGTACTTTCTACATATCAAATCATACCATCTGCTAATAAGACAGTTTTACTTCTGCCTTTTCTACTTGATGACTTTTATTCTTTTTTGTGCCTTAGTGCACTAAGACTTCAAGAACATGCTGCATAGGAGTGGTAAAAGAAGAAATACTTGCCTCTTACCAGTCTTTAGGGGAAATCATTCAGTCTTGCAACATTAAGTATGATGTTAGCTGTAGGGTTTTTGTATGTCCTCTTTCTCTGGCTGAAGAAGTTTCCTTCTATTTCCATTTTGTTGAGAATTTTTACCATGAATGGATGTTGGATTCTATAATGCTTTTTCTCCATCTATTCAGGTAATCACATGAATGGAAATTTATTTATTTGTTCTTTTGAGTGAATAGAGAGGGTAGTTGGGCACTGCTTCCACTACAACATTTCTGAGGAGGACTTATGCTATTAAATTTGCAAATAAATTTCATTGCATAAAAGATGGAGGAGCTCATCAAAATTATTAATTTATTCACATCAGTACCCTTATGGAAAAGCTATTTGACAGATAAGTGAAAATATGCCATTCAGCAAATGTCTTCAACAAACATATATAATCCAGCCATCCAAATTAATTCCATGATAAGGTTTTTCATATCAAAAAGTTCTACAGTGGTGGGAGGGGGCTGATTTGGCTGTTTAGTCAGGGAAGTACAAGTTTTTACATTCAAACTGATTGAGCAGATTGACATTAAGACTGCATTTATTTTGTATAGATGCCATTGAGTTCAGTGTAGTTTAGCAGACTTTAAAAATTACAGACCTGTTAGATAGAAATAAAATAGCAATTTCAGAAGAGGTTCATATATTTTTATGCTTTGGATTATACTTTAAGTTTCTCTAGCCTTCTTTGAGAGGCAAGCCTCACAATGTATCTGAATTATTAAGCATCTGTCCTATAAGAGTGGCTCAGTTTCAAGAGGAACTGTGCAGGCTAGACATGAACTATGCCCCCTAAGAAGAGCTGCATTCCCTGGAATTTGAAGGTATGTATGATTTCAAGGATTAAACTGAAATTTCTGACCATGCGGCCATACTCTTGCTCCATAAAATTTTTTTAAATGCATTATGTTTCATAAAAGTGTAACAGCAAAAATGAGAATTACCAGTCATGCATTCATTCAACAAAAATTTGCTCATCACCTACTACACTGAAAATATGGGGTAGACAAAATAGAAACAACCATTTTCATAGAAGCTTACATATTAACAAGGGAGACAGATACTTAATAATTGCACAGGTAATTATAGTTTCAATCATATATGATAAACGCTATGATGGAAATATCCAGAGTATGATGACAGAAAATAATTAGGGGAATCCAACCTAGTCTGGAGAGGTGAGAGACATACCCCTGAGACACTAGCAGTTAAAGTGAAATTTGAAGTATAAGCAGAAGTCTGTCTAGAATACTCTCCTCCTTCCTTCTGTCTGCCTTAACTCTTCCATTCAGCTCCTTACTCCTTGCTAAGGCAAATAGGAGTGCAAAGGTCATGAGATAGAAGGAGTGTGGCTCTTTCAAAGAACTGAGAAAAGGCCAGTATGGCTGAAAACTTTTAAGGCTGAGTTTTGAACTCCAAAATGTAAAGATAGGAAAATAAAGGAAGAGCCAGGAAAAGTGACCAAGATGGAGTGGCCAAGGAGAATCAGGTATCATAGAAGCCAAGGAAGTAGAATATTTCAAGAATGAAGAATAATAAACTGTATTAAATACAACTGAGAGGTCAAAATTGCTAGGGCTGAAAAGTATTCCTTGTGTTTAGCAATATGGAGGACCTTGGAGACCTTGTCAAAAGCAGTTTTGGTAGGTGGTCATCAGGCAAAATTCCAGAGAGGCATGAATTGAAGAAGTAAATCAGTCATTCTAAGGTAAGTATTGTTGTTGTAAAAATGAACTCCAAAATTTCACTGGTTTAACAGAGAAAACAATTTTTTGCTTATGTAACATGTTTATCAGGGGGGGTTTCTGCTACAATCACTAGATTACCTAAGGTGACAGAGG